TTGATACATTATAATATATATAGTTAATTGTAAATTAAAACTATATATTATGAGAGATATTATTTGAATGAGATTCAAATAAAATTAATATGAATAAGATTCATATTAAAACTATAGGTTAAAAATAATGTGCATAAGATGTACATTAAAACTATAGGTTATACGAGAGAAATGTTTTAGAATATGATTCTAATTTTATAATAAATAATTAAGTGTTAATTATTTATGTATATATATATTTATTAATTATTAATTGGATTAATAATTAATTATATTAATTAATTTGATTAATTATATATATATATATATTAATTATTATATATATTATTATATATATTAATATTAATATTATTATTAACGCCTCTGCAAAATTGCAGGGGAGTGGGACCCCACGTCACCCTTCTTCTTCTCCAAGTGTTGAACGTTTACACAGAACAAATAAAGGAAAAAGACTCCCAGGATTTCTCTCAAATTCTCTCAATCTCTCCCTCTCTTCGATCAAGGTGTTACCACAAGCACGATCCCGAGACCCAAGAGGATAGCGAGGAAGATCCGGTGGTGGTGTTCGAGGGGAATTCACTGAAGAAACGTTCTTCAAAGGTTTAAGTTTCCCCTATTTTTTCCTTCTTTCTATTTCGGTTTCGTGTTAAAAAAAAAATCAGCAACGAAAATCCGCTTCCGCTCCGGAATTCACACCCCTTCATATAGTTTAAAGCTTATAATGAAAATATTATTAAGATTTGCTAAGATTTTTTATATGGGTAGGAGAGATCAGATGTACCTGTAAGTTACAGGGTTAATTATATAATAAGCGTTATTAGAAAAATCCAAACACCACGCATTGTAGCCCTACTCAGCCATGTGAATCGGGTCAACGAAGACCAGGAAAAGGTCTGTACCAAGTCCAATTTCGATCGCACTGGTTTAGGGGCTGACGCGCTTAGGTGATTCACACGAAGGGTGCTGATACCCTGTACCCAATCTGCGATACGCCTCCAAGACGCTGCTGTATTCTACTTTTTTATACTCTACATGCTCCATACTCGTCTGCTCCCAAATTAGAGCGATTCACCTTTGTCGATCAACCATAAGAATTCACCCTTAATTTTGATGAGACTTCTCAAGATAGTTTTTTCCTTTTCTTTTTAGTACAACATGTAGGGATGAAGATTTGAACTCATGACCTTTTCGTCGGAGATAGGTGCCTTAACTAGTTGAGCTGGACTTCGTATAGATTAAATTTTTACCAACTAAATCATTCGAAGAAATATGTTGAATTTATTGATATTGTGATAAAAGAAAAAAATTAAAAATGAAATCAATGAACTAAAATGGTAAAATTCGATGGAAATTGCAGAAAAATAAATAGGATTTTAACCAAAAATCCATTATACATTTTTAAAATTCCAGACACCTAATCGGATCAGACATATTTTGAAGTTCATACCAAAAAAGTGAGAAAATTTACGTGGAAATTGACTCAAATGACCTTCAAAAGTTTATGGAATGCTCAAATGACCTACTTTTTAAATGTGTCCAAATGACCTACTTTAAGCATTAATGATGTGTCAGAGGAGATGAAATGACCCAAATATCCTTAATCATAAGACATGACCGCTGGAAAAAACCTCGGTCGGGGTCATATTAATTGCGGAATCATTTAATTCACAACAACCATTGCCTTTAATTTTGCTGTTTTTGATTTCTTCTTAAGATTGGACTACATTTGAAAAGCAATTTTGCTGTTTGTTTGCTTTGATTTTGAAACATGTTTCATTTTTAAATTTAGTTTCGTATTTCGGCATGATTCTGCTAAAGTTGACTATGAATCTCGGGCGGGAGTTATGGTTTCCCGACTGAGTTTCATAAGAAACGATGAACCTCGGGCGAGGTTTCGCCCGAGGTCAACGATTGGTGATAGAAAAAGTTGACGCAACCTCGAGGTTTCTAAGCCTTTGTCATTTTTCTCGGGTTCGATCTCGGGCGAGGTTGAGCCTCTTTCAATTACCTAGGGCTCAACCTCGCCTGAGGTCGAATCCGAGAAAAATGACAGAGGCTTACTAAACCTTGAGCGACGTTTCAAATCTCTTCAACCTCGCTCGAGGTCCATCCCACTTCATCGAAAATACTTCTTCATCTTCAACCTCCCACCACACCACTTCAAATATTTCAAATCAAACTCCCGCAGCCACAGACCTCAATTCCAACATAAATGAAAAATCAAAGAAAAACAGGGAACGAAACAAAGAAGAACACCAGAAAACAAAATCAACAGAAAAAAACCTAAATTGATGCAATATTATACATGTATTCGTTCATCTAAACATCGAAAAACTGAATCAATGCAAATAAACAACCATTCAACTCCTCAACACACATAAAATCGAAGCCAATCGCCAAGAGAAACAAAAATAAAGAAGAAATTCGAAGGGACTGCAAAGAAAAATCGAGAAGATGAATTTGGGTTGAAAACGACGAGGAATGGGGAAATGGTAAAGTAAATGGTTTGGTTTTCTTTTAAAGGTAGTACTATAATTTTGCTACTTTTTAAAATTAATTAAATATTCCCGTGACATTTGGACATGATAATTTTAGCTTTCCCAAATTACTCACCTCAAGCTTCTAACAGAATACTGCATTCTTCCCTCACCGCAACCGCAGCAATCCAGCGGCAACGATATTCGATTCTGGGGTTTACATCTCCGGCGATGATTTTGGCCGATTCAAGCTATAAATGACGGCCATGGCGGGAATCAGCGTCCGAGCCTCAATTCAGCTTCAACATAGGGTTTTCCCAATATCCTGGTGATTAATTTTTCTAACATTCATTTTCTCTGCCGCTTGTCTGGTTGTCAAGAATGAATATAGCGAGCTAGAGAAGGGGATTCGAACAAATTTTTTCGTAGTTTTCTTTATATATGTGATTATCTATATACGATATGATTGACTGGAGATGGGTTCTTGTTTTCTCCATCCGTATGTCGTTGCTGATAATATCATTCTTTTATTTGAAGGAAGGTTGTAAATAGTTCTCTTCTGCTTTGTTCTTGTTTTGATTTTTATGGTGGAGCTGTGTATCTTCAGGGTGAAGAAGAGCAGCATTGTTGCTTGCTTGAAAACCAGAGACTATAACTCGTCGGGTCCTGTTAGGTACACTCCAAAAAGGTCTTCAAATGATCAGAAACCAAGAACACCTCTGGCACCGGAAATTGTAAATGGAAGCGATTTCGGTAGTGGTTTGGATGATAATCCTCGGAGGATTGAGGTTAAACATAGGGGTGCAGTACGGAGAAGTAACTTTTATGATAGGTTACATCATCAAAGGCAGAATGAGAAGGAAAACAGGTCAAATGGTCGAAGTATGCAAGGTATATGGAACTTTTAAATTAGTTGAAGTTGTCATATGTGTTTACTCTTCATGATGAATGATTAAGTTGGATTGATCAAAATCTGTAATGTTTGCACTTTAGTGCACTTTGTTCTTTTAAAAACACCGCTGTACTTGTTATGAACTCAAAACGTGGGGGTTGAGTCATCTTCAATTCCTATCTTCTTTCAAACTTTTGATAGATTGAAGATCTCGATAGGGGTTCAGAAGGTTTTAACTTATAAATTTCATGAAAAAACTCAAATGTTTGAAAGGAAAATTCAGGGTGTGGATTGTGGAATAAGGAAGTTCTTTAGGGAGTGTAGAGAGGGTATTGAAAAATTATGGTTTTGAATCCAAAAGAAAGTTTTGAACGCTATACTAAAGCTTCGAAGAGGGGATAGGTAGATTTAAAAGTGCTCTGATATTGATAGATATCTCCCAAGAATTAGGTTAGACTCATTTAAGTACTTGTAGTCCTTTTATACTGAATCAAGAGAAATATCTCAATGAGATTTACAGAACTCCCAGGACTTTTGAGAGGCTAGATTGTTTTCCTGCCTTTTTATTTTCTACCTCTCTCATTTATACTAACAGCCTCTGTTTAACTACCTACTTTCATCAGTCACAGTTATATAACAGCATCAAGCCTCTTTAACTATTGTAATCCTATTAGATTGTCTCTAATGTTTGAAAACATCACTGGTGATCTAGGTAATTATGAAGAGTTTTTGAATCAGGAGGAAGGCTCTTGGAAAAAAAAAAAAGCTAGATATAAATGTATAAGATATTAGTCTAGGAACTCTAGGCTTCTTAATTGAATTTATAGGCTAATTTTGAATAGAATAGCACTTTCTTGCATGGAAAAACACTCTTGTGTCATTTCCTCTCTTGAAGTGCTTTAGCCCTTATTTCCCTTGGTGATTAATGCCAATCTTAAAGGCTTTTTTTAGGGTTTGAAGATGAATTCGACGACAATTTGGGCTTTGTTGATGATCTCTTGCAAAAGCCTGAGGCAGTAGATGAGGGGTTAAAGATTTACAACAAGAAATGTTATCATGGAAACAATGATTTACAGGGAAATAAAAGTAAGCAAGATGCTGAGAAATTGGCTATTGAATTACTTGCAACAAGGTAACATTATGTCAATTATGGTTACTGTCTTTTATCTTGGAATCTGATGGCATCTGTCAAAGTATCACGAAAATAAGTTTTGGACGGATTTGTATGAAAATGTTCTGCTAGGATTTTGAAGTATATGTGAACTTTTTAAAAACTTTTCCTAATGTGTGAGAAGAATTTACCATATATTATTAAAACATAATAAATAACCTGGTGAAACTACAAGAGCATTTCGCTTGGCCTATTTCTTTAACTGGCAACCATAAATGCATTTGCTTTTGCAAGAAGAATATTAAGCATGTGATAGCATTCTGCAGAGCCTTCACTGCAGTTGAGCTGAGGAAGAAATTGCTCGGTAGGAGGTTCTCTTCTGACACAGTGGAAGCAGTGATCAATGATTTCAAGAGCAGGTCCTGTAATAATGTTTAGTGTCCATCAGCAACTTCTTGACAAATTAACTTTCTAAGTTTACATTGAAACAGATTTCAATTTTGTAGTCAGACTCGACCTCAATTGCAAAAGACTTGATTGCCTTTCACGTGAGACTAACCCTTTTAACTATATTTTTAGGGGGTTGATCAATGACGGCCTGTATGCTGAAGCATTTTCCCGTTCGAGATGGTCTTCCTCCAGCTGGGGACCCAGGAAACTCAAGCAGGTAACTGCTTCTATTTCCATTGCCACCGTCTTTCTCGTCTTTCCCTTCTCGTCATTGATACGAGACGTAGGAGGATTCTCTATAAGTTGCAGGACTAGAAAAACTTGTGTATCACCCTTAAGATAATGAGAGGTTTATTTTCTGGATCAGGCACTAGTAAGTAAGGGGATAGGAGGAGAAGTTGCTCAGAAAGCAATTAAACTGGTTTTTGAAGAAGGTGAAGAATCTGGCGATGGAATGTCAAGTGTGGGGTTATCAAAGGTTTCAATGGATCATTTATTCGTTCAGGCCTCGAAACAGTGGCTACGAGGCCGGGACGCCCCGAAAGAGACTAGAAAATCAAGAATAGTTAGGTGGCTTCAATACCGGGGGTTTGACTGGGGTGTCACTAGAACCATCCTAAAGAAGTTAGAAACTGAGTACCCTCCTTAGTAATCTAATGAAAAGATTCAAGGATTTAGAGGCTTTTGAGATCCCCATCTTCTTGGGAAGCATTGAGTTTGGATGCTGTACCAATGGGTGCAAAGAGAAGTGTGAAGGAGGGGGAAGTAGAAGGATAATGACACCTACTGCAGCAGTGGCACATTTGAAGATCTGATTGTTCTGTTCTGTGGACAATTATGCTTTTTTAGTAGAATTAATACTTACTTTACTTCTTTTAATGCATATGTGATTGAGGAGGCCCTGTTTGTAGTAGATTTTTTGTCATCCTTATTTATATAATTGGACTTCTCCTCCTCTTCTTCCCTCTCTCTTTTCTTAACAAAAAGAATGTGGAATTTTTGGAGACTAAAGGCTCGTTAACGAACGTTCTTGTTTTTCGTTTCCCGTTTCTCTTTTCTAAATTTTGAGAAACATAAATATTTGGTAACTGTTCCTATTTCTCGTTTCTCAATTTTAAGTAACATTTCCAAAATTGGGTAGAAATTTTTGTAACAACAACTTTTGTAGCTCATGTTTTATGTTCTTTCTAAAATATAAATAAAAAAATTATTTTATATAAAATGCATAATAAGTATTAAAATAAAATGCATAATAAGTGTTAAAAAGTAAATATAACATAAAGATTTCGAATATTTAATTTTATATATTAATTTTGATATAAAATTTTAACTTTTTTTTTTAGTTTAAAATGGTAAAGAACAAGAAATAAAAAATTACTACCAAAATGCTTATGAAAAAAGAAAGGTTAAATTACATAAACCACCCCTAAAGTATGAGGATTGTTAGAATTACACCCGAAACTTTCAATTGTATAAATTAAACCCTTCAACCTTTTACAAGTCAAAAAATTGCACCCTCAAACTTTTATTTAAAAAATTACACCCTCAAACTTGTGTAGCGTAACAAATTGCACCCTAAACTTCTAATTTAAAAAAACTAAACTCTTAAAATAAAAAAAAAAGATTAAATTTATTTTTACTCTCTCTCTCTCTTTCTACTTTTTCTCTTCTCCTTGTCATCCCTCCCACCATAAAATTTGCTGGTTTCTCTTCATCGTCTCCGTCACCCGTATAAGTATTGAGGCCAAGAGAGATGGGTAATCGAAATCGAATGAGTCTGAAAGCTGGAGAATAATTATGCGGTACAGATTTTGGCATTCGAGGAGAGGAGGGGAGAAGACGAGCTTTTCCTTGTGCGCTAACTGAACTTCACGAAACTAGAAGAATAATGTGTGACTCATCCCCCCATTTAACGCAAATAATTTTTGGATTTTGATTTCCATGTACAAATTACTTAGAAGACAAATTTCTTCCCCTTTCGTATCAGACGGTGAATTTCTTCTCGCCTCTTCTGCTGGTGGTTGGTTCGTTTGATTTTGAAGTTTTCTCTAATGGATTTTTCTTTGAAGCTTCGCTTATGATGGTTTTATACTCCAAATTTCAGACTCAGTCCGATTTCATTCTCAAATAAAAAATTACGGTAAATACGTTCAATACTGGAACAATTATGCTCCACATTTCAGACTGAATCCATTTCCTCCTCGCATACCGCAAAATACCCATCTCTCTTGGCCTCAGTATTTGCCGGTGATGGTGAAGAGAAACTAGCAAGGTTTCCCAAGAAGGGGGAGAACGTAAAAAGAGAGGAGAGAGTGAAAATAAATGGAGTTTTTTTTTTAAGAGTAATTTTTTTAAATGGAAAGTTTAGGGGTGTAATTTTTTAACCCTTGAAATGTTGAGGGTTTAATTTTTACACTTAAAGTTTGATGCTGTAATTGTGAAATTTTTTCACAAAGTTTAAGGGTTAAATTTTTACCATTGAAAGTTTGAGGGTGTAATTATAACAACCATCATACTTTAGGGATGGTTTGTGCAATTTACCCAAAAAGAAATAACAAAAAATGTTACTAAATGAAATTTGAAATTAGTTTTAATTTCTACACGCTTTCATTTTTAGTAGTATGATACATATCTCTTATATTTCTACAAACTCCATCTTTTCTTAAATTACAACATGTAGGGGCAGGAATTCCCAAAATGCAATAACCCGTAGCGAGTGATTGATTTTAGGCCAATCTCTCTTGTAATGTTTGTTATAAGATCATATCAAAGGTGTTGCTTAATAGGCTAAAGAAGGTGCTTAATGTGATCATTTCCCCCGACCAGAGTGCGTTTATTCCTAAAAGACATATCACTGACAATGCAATAGTGGGGTATGAATGCATTCATTCCCTTAGAAGCAAGAAAGGAGGAAAATCTAGTTGGGCGGCTTTGAAACTTGACATGAGTAAGGTCTATGATCGTGTTGAATGAGCGTTCCTGGAAAAGATAATGTTGAGGCTGGGATTTGATAAAGCCTGGGTTGATTTAATTATGAGATGTGTTCGGTTAGATACGTTATCTTTCAAGCTCAATGGAGAGAAAGTTGGCCATGTTACTCCCTACAGGGGACTCCGCCAGGGGACCCATTATCGCCATACTTGTTTCTCATGTGCACATAAGGGTTGTCTAGCCTTCTCCATCAGGCCTCAATTGAGAAAAAAGTCTCTGGACTATCTATTGCTCGGCAAAGTCCTCCTATATCTCACATCTTCTTCGTGGATGATAGTCTCTTATTTTTTAAGGCCAAAATTAGTGAAGGAGCTTGCATTAGTGAATGTCTTAAACGGTATGAAGTTGCTTCGGGGCAGGTTATAAATTTCAATAAATCCGTTCTTGCATTTAGTCCAAACACGAATGAAGCTTTTAAGGAACAAATAAGGGATCTTCTTTCTGTTAGAGTTGTGGCCTACCATCACCAATATTTGGGTCTCCCTTCCTTTCTATCTCGGAACAAGACTATGCATTTCAATTACATTAAGGATCGTGTGTGGAAGAACTTCAAGGCTGGAAAAGTAGACTATTTTCAATGGGAGGTAAGGAGGTGTTAATTAGGCAGTTATCCAGGCTATTCCGTGCTACACGATCTCCTATTTTAGACTGCCGCAGAAGCTTATTCAGGAGCTGAATCAACTGGCGGCTCGTTTCTGGTGGAGTGTAGATAGAGAGGACAGGAAGATCCATTGGGTTGGCTGGAAATCAATGTGTCGACCGAAATGCTTGTGAGGGATGGGCTTTAGGGATCTTAAGATTTTCAACAAGGCTCTGCTAGCAAAACAAGGTTGGAGGATTTTAAATGACCCGAACTCAATGCTTGCACAAGTCCTAAAGGGACGTTATTTCAAACAGGGCACCTTTTTATCTGCAAAACTCGGTTGGAGTCCTTCGTTCATTTGGAGAAGTATTCTGTGGGGTCAGGATTTACTTAAAGAGGGAACCCGATGGCGCATTGGGAATAGTGAAAGGGTGAAGATTTATGGTGATAATTGGGTTCCTAATCAACCAACTCTTAAAATCCTATCCCGGCCCCAAATTCCCATTGACACAAACGTTAGTCATCTGATTGATAATGAGCTAGGCCAGTGGAAGGCATATATAGTTCAATATATTTTCTCGCCGGATGAAGCTAAGGGTATTCTATCGATTCCTATTGGGATGAGCCATGGATGGGATCGTTTGATTTGGCACCATGAAAAATCGGGTGTATACACAGTTAAAAGTGGATATAAAGCTGCTCAGATGACATTATCGAATAACTTGACATCATCCTCTTCTATGGATAGCTTGGCAAATTGGTGGCGAGGAGTGTGAAAATTATCTCTCCCTAGTAAAATAAAAGTCTTCTTTTGGCATTTGTGTTTAGACAAGCTCCCAACGGGAGCTAATTTGACTCAAAGGGAGGTGGATATCCAAAATATTTGTGTTTTACGTGGGAAGAAAGGAGAAGATTCTTACCATATATTTTGGCTTTGTAAATATACCAAACATAAATGGATGAACTCTAAATTTCACCATCTCTCTGTGGGAAGAAAGGAGAAGATTCTTACCATTTATTTTGGCTTTGTAAATATACCAAACATAAATGGATGAACTCTAAATTTCACCATCTCTCTGTTCTTCATCCTCAGGCACCTATGATCAATATCTTAAGGGACTGGCGAGACATGTTAAATTGGAAAGATTTTGAGGAATTGGTTGTGTTTTTGTGGAGTTTATGGAATCGTAGAAATGCATTTGTGTTTAATAAGAGAAGAGTTGAGGATGATGATTTGGCGGGATGGGTCAGTACTTACATTGCTACATTCAAGGCTACTAATACCAATCATGCAACAGCCAACCAAGATGTTAGTCAAAGTTTTCAACAATCTTCACAAATACATCAAGCTCAGAATCACACTATTTGGTGCCCAGCAGAAGAGGGGGTCTTTAAATTAAAGACAGATGCTTCTTTTTCCTCTATCGATTTTAATGCAGGTCTGGGAGTCATCATCATCAGAGACCATAGAGGGCAAGTTCTAGCTTCGGCTACGAAATACTTGGAGCATGTGGCGTCCGTGGATGATGCTGAAGCGCTTGCTGCAGTGGAAGGCCTTCGTGTGGCAATGGAGACTGGAATTTCTCCGATCCTTTTGGAAACTGACTCTTTGCGTATCTACAATCTTTTTGCTCGAGATAAAGAAGGCCTATCAAAGACGGGATCAATTATTGAATATGTGAAAACTCATCTTGCTACCAGATTGCAGGTATCCTATAGCTTCACAAAAAGAACTGGAAATACGATCGCTCACCTTTTGGCGAGAAGAGCCCTCCAGTCTCAGGAAAATTTCGTCTAGCTTGAGGAGGGGCCGGAGGACATCTTGAACGCTCTAGATTCTGAATGCTTAGATTTGTTTTTGTAATTTCTTTGTTTTAAATTTGTTTTTCTTAAAAAAAAAATGTAGGGGCGGGAATTCGAACTCCCGACTTTTTGGTCAAAGATAGATGTCTTAAGCAGTTGAGTTATATTGTTGGCTACAAATCCCGTCTTTGATTCAAAATATATTACTTAAGAATGATTTATACTTTATCCATCGAAACTGATGTATACTTAACTCCATCGAGACTGAAGTTTGGATACATATTGTGACCAAGATTGTGAATTAATGTACATATACAAAACGTTATTATATTCCCCTTTTTGAGTAATAAATGGGAGTGTTTTGCCCCTAAACAAAACAAATTGCTGCGGGATATGATGATTGGCAGCATGTGCAGGAGAGAAGCAAGGTAAGTGTTGAAAGAAAATGGTGTGGGAAATGGCAATTCCTTGTTACTACATGTGCTCCCAATTCAAAACATTCAAATTGTCTTCTTCCATTTTACTCCAAGTTTTTCTATGCCTTCCATGTGCTAGCCCCCTTTCATCGTGCCACCATGTGACTCGAGAAACCTCATTTGCTCCATAAATTATTTCACGAGTTGGAATGATATATGGCTAACGATTTCATCTATTGGGTTCATCCAGGGGTGGAGGAATTTGAACCTTCAACTTTTAAGGACTTGTAGCAAATTAAGTTCGTCCATGAAATTTCTTTGTTCATCAGAATAAGACAGATTAATCGCACTTTGGAGTCGTTTGGATCCATTGTCAAGTTTGGTCTTTTTCTCAATCCTGTACGGAAGTAAGGAATTCTTTATGGGGTTCAACGATTAGGTTAATCTCCCTCCTCAAAAGGGTCGTTTTCCACGTCACTAAACATGGTCCCTTTATTTTGATTCCAACTCCACAGTTCATTCATAAATAGAACTGGAGATTAATCAATTTTTCCAGGGAAAGGTCGGTTTTTTTAAGTCTTCATGTGCTCTTATTAGTCATTCCTTCCTTGAGAATGAAAACAAATGATTAGAACAATGACTCATATGGGTTTTGTCTATTATTTACAACTACTCCATGTAGCCATTTCTCACACCTCTCCAACTTGGATAAAATTAAAAAGAAAAAAAAAGACAGAGCCATATAATCTTTTTAAACTAACTGTTTAAGTTAATCAATGATTATTTTCAAATTTACAAACCTTTTTTCCATCTTGATTCTTGAGTTGAAAAAGGGTAAAAAAAAAAAAGAAAAAAAGGGAATTTTTTTTTACTGGGTTTTAGGAGCTGATTCTGGACCGTTAGATTGAATCATCAGAGAACACAAAGGAGCACTGGGAAGATCCTTGGGACACAAACTTCCTCGACAGCGACCGCGGCGGAGGCGACGACGGCACCACCGCCGTTCCCGGCTTGGCGCCGTCGACGGTGGCCCTACCAAATTCGACATGTCGAATCTCCTTGAGCATTGCGACGACATCTTTCATCGTGGGCCGATCGTTGACCCTGACGCTGACACAGAGCGACGCGATGGCTAGGGTTTGCAGCATCTCGTGCATGGCAGGATCGGCTCTTCCTCTGAGCTTGGAATCGAAAATGGCGACTGGGTCTCGCTTTCCGGCCAAATAATCGCGGACCCATTGCACCAAACTCACTCCTCCGGGTATCGTCGGGTCCAGCGGGTGCCGCCCCGTTAGAACCTCCATTATCACCACTCCGAAGCTGTACACATCGCTCTTCTCTGTGATTCTCTGCGTCGACCCAAGCTCTGTAGTCACCACGAAAAAGCTTAATTATGAATCCATGGCGTCGATTTAATAAATCGAACAGATGGGTACGAAAAGGGGTAGAGAAAAAACATACCCGGGGCCATGTAGCCGTAAGAACCAGCAAGATGAGGTGGTCTCTGCAATGGCTTCCCTGAACCGTCTTCATCGCTGTTTATACTCACGATTCTGGCCAGCCCAAAGTCGGCGAGGTAAGGTTGCAAGCCATGACCGAGCAGCACATTCATGGCCTTCACATCGCCATGTAAGATTGGAGGAAGACAGTCGTGGTGGAGATATGCGAGAGCATGAGCCACCCCTAAGAGAATTTTGTATCTGACCTCCCATTCTGCTCCTCCCTTTCCTGCGCCATGGAGAAGGGAGCTCAAGCTTCCATTTGGGAGATAATCATAGAACAGGAGCTTCAAATTCCTGTTGGATCCCCAACCCAGAAGCCTGATTATGTTCTTGTGTCGAATTGAACCCAGAGTTTGGATTTCTGAACTGAAGGCTCCTGAATCTTCATTCGACCACATTTTCTTCACTGCCATTGTTCCCCCACTTGGGGTTGTGACTCTGTACACAACGCCGGAGCTTCCGGTACCAATGACATTGGATGAAGTTAAGTTTCGGATGATGTCGTCGATTGGAAACTCGAGCTTTTGGTACAAAGTTATTTCCCAGTTTTCCCCTTCTGAGAGAAGTCTGGAATTGGCGATATGGGTGCGGATTAGCATGTAAATTGCTAGAAGGATCAGCACTGCACTGGTGCTGATCAGGATTGGCATCGCCACCTTCATGGCTCCTCTGCTTCTGCTGTTGGATACCACATTGTCTGCAGGAAGCCCACCTGATATGTAAAGGCCTTTGTTTCCGGCAATGTTGCTGAGAGGGAGCTTCTGAAAGAAAGGTTTGTCGGGCAATTCACCGACGAAGTCGTTGTAGGAGACGTTTAGAGAGACGAGGTTTTGAAGTCCTACAAGAAGGCTGAGGTTCCCAGAGAGGCTGTTGTGGGAGAGGTCTAGAATTCCTAGCTTGGTGAGACCAGAGAATTCTGATGGGATTTCACCTGAAAATTGATTGCAACTTAGATTAAGAGCTATTTCGAGGGAAGAAATTTGACCCAATTCCTTTGGGAGCTCCCCAGAGAAGCCATTGTTGCCAAGGTCTAATAACTGGAGCTTCTTGCAGGAAACGATTTCTCCCGGGATTTTCCCAGAAAGTTGGTTTTTTCCAAGGTTGAGTTTTGTTAGTTCAATCAATCCTCCAATTCTGAGATGGACCTGGCCATTAAACCTGTTGTTGGAGATGTCCAAAATCTGTAGGCTCTTTGGCAGATCATCTGGCAAAGGACCAGTGAGCCCATTGGAATGGAGGTCGAGAAGCTCGAGATTTTCACATTCTGATAACGATGGAGGAATTCTTCCAACAAGAAGGTTTTCACCCATGTCAAAGAAATTCAAGTTCTTCAGATGGCCAATCTCTGATGGAATAGTACCTCCGATCCTGTTCTCATTCAGTCTTAACCTGTACAGATTCGTACAGTTTCCTATATCAGGTGGAATAAACCCGGACAGATTATTCGAAATAAGAAGAATCTTGGTGAGATTCTTCAACCCGAAAATCTGTTTCGGTATTGGACCGACCAAGTTGTTAAAAGAGAGATCGAGAGCCTGGAGATTCTGGCAGTCTGAGAGAGTGTTGGGAATACTTCCTGTTAGATTGTTTTGCCAGGCAAAAAATATAGTCAAGTTCTTTAGGTTGCCAATGGCAGTGGGTATCTCGCCTGAAATCATGTTGTTGTCGATCTCCAGGTGAGACAAAGCCAAACAATTAGAGATTTCAGAAGGTATTGTACCAGAGAGCTGATTAATACTCAGTTGAAGCTCTTGAAGATTTGAAAGTCCTCCAAGACTTTTTGGTATGCTTCCAGTTAGAAGATTTTCTGAAAAGTCAAGGACTAGGAGCTCCTTGCAGTTCTCAAGTTCATCCGGAATTTCACCCTCCAAGTTGTTCTGCCATAGAAGGACACTTTGAAGATTTCTCAGCTCCCCGAGTTGTCTCGGTATCAGCCCAGAAAGAGTATTCTGATACAGGTAAAGACTCTGCAACTCACTACAGTTTCCAATCTCTTCTGGGATTGGACCGGAGAGCCGGGATGAATAAATGGCTATGGTTTGGATTCTTTTCAGCATCCCAATCGTCGACGGAAGCCTCCCGGAGATTTTGGTTTCGGCTATGCCTAACATGACTAAACTGCTGCAGTTTCCAATCTCCATTGGCAATTCACCCTTGAGATTTTTGTTCCCTCCAGCTCTGAAAATTTGAAGCTTTTCCAACCTTCCAATGCTTTTTGGAATCTCCCCACTGAGGTTATTGTCAAAGAGTGTGAGAGACACAAGGTTTGAAAGATTTCCAATCTCCAAAGGTATAATCCCTTCAAAAGCATTGCCATTAAGATACAACTCCTGCAGCTTGCTCAGCTTGCAAATCTCTTCTGGCATTTCGCCCGAAAGGTGATTGTCGCTGAGATCAATGAAGCTGAGCTCATTATAATCTCCAAACTCTTTCGGAATCGTCCCGGAAATATTGGTCGAAGAGATGGAAAGGCTCCTCAAAAGCTTGAGAGACTGAAAATTTGAAGGCAAAGTACCTTGCAAATCCACTACTATTAACTTTATCTCCACCACCTCCCCCTTCGAATCGCAGATAATTCCGAACCATAAACATGGTGTTTCTTCCTCGGGCTTCCACGACCGCAAAGCATCGGTGGAGCTGGTTAGACTGTCCTTCCATGTAAGAAGAGCTCTACCCTGTTCATCAATGGAGTAACAAGAAGAAAAGAGAAGAGATGTCACAGAAAAAATCAAGCCTAAGGAGAAGAAATGAGGAGGAAGAAAGAGATTCCTTAGAGTTGCAGTCATTGTTCTTCTTGAGAACATAAAAAACAGAATGATCTGTTTTGGGATTGTAGAGGGTGGAAACCCATGTTTTGTTTATAGGAGAAAACAAACAGAGACCAAGAAAAAAGAAAATAAGAGAGAGAGAGGGATCTGGATCCAAGAGCCTCCTTCTGTTATTCTATTATTATTTTTTTCCTTCTCTGGTTTTTTTCTTAATTGAGAAGATGGTTCTGCATATTGGGAATATGGTTTTCAAAAAATAAAAGTTTCTTTTTTCCTTTTTCTTATCTTTTGGTTAATAACTTCCCATAAACTGTTGCGTTTTACCAGTAGTAACTATCAGAAATGACATCTTCTGTATTGGTTCTGAACGTGATGTGAGCTTCTTCTTTGGCCATCTTGTTTGCTCATTTCTGGTTAAACTACACCCTCTTCTAATCTCCTCCAATGGCTGTTCTGGATCAGTTATTATTAACAGTAAAGTATGGATATATTGATTTCTTTGGAACAAAATTTGAGTGTTTTTAGCTATGGATGTTATCGAGGAAGATGAAGGTGTCATGTTCAATAAGACAGAGGAGGAGGTGGTCCATCAAGCATGTGATTATAGTTAGCTTTTGAGCCACCCATCAATGTCTTTTACCCGTTGTGTTATTTTAGAGTTTTTGGGTCTGTTCTGTTTTTTCAAGTACAAATTTAGTAAAGACATGTTTTGGATAACTAATTTTTTAGAAGTTTTGTTTCTTTTTTCCATAGGTAATTGCTTTTTTGAGAAGGGGTAAATTTAGTTGCTTACAACTTTTAGAAGTTTTAATGTTGTCTCTAAACTGTTTTTTATTTTAATTCTAATAAGTTTTTATAATTAATACATATTGATGTGACATATTGACTAGAGTAGCGGATTTTTTTGCTCGTTTGTTCTCTCTTTGTTATTGTTGTTGTTCTTTTTTTAAAATAAAAAATAGGGAGATACTAGACTACAAAATTCGATGAAATGGGATGATGCAAATATTTTGAGCTACATATTTCATTCTAAAATTATGAGATTTGAAGGAGTACTTTTTAACTTGAGGTGGAGATTCAGATGAATGATCCTTTAAGAGAAGTGGAGCGCTGCAGTTAACCACTGAACAGTGCTTTGATTAGCTATTGTTATGAGTAATAGAGAGCGACGCGTGGATCACTCTCGAGTAGCCACGTAGGCTTGGGTGGGAGCTCGAGCTGTCGAGTTGGAGAGGAAATGCCCATGTCATGTGACGAGGAGGTCCTCAGACAAGAGTTTGTCCATGAGTATGAACTCTAACCACCTAAGCTTGTGCTTCGAATTTCCTTTTATACAAAAGAAAGTCAAAGTTATTAAAACTATACAACATCTTACACTGAACTTCTAGCTCGTCACTTCTGTTCTTCCGACCTGAGTTAAAACTTAAGCATCAGAGCGCATTTAGTCGAGCACCACATGGTGCTAGGTTTTGACACACAGGTTGATACGAATCCATTTGTGACCAATTACATATATCAAAGGAGCAATTATTACAAGAAAGGCAAGGAAGATTCAAGAGGCTTTCACA